TGACTCACAATTTACATGAAACCCCAACTTAGAGGATTGTTGTAATGATTAAATAAGACCAGGACAATGCTTGAATAATGGGTAAGTATATATTTTTTCTTGCATGAAGACATAAAAAGGAATGTTTAGCCACAATGAAGTGAACCAACTACCCACTTATTTCAATAGCATTTATCAATGTGATGAATAAAAGGTAACCATACATTAAAGTAAGAACACATTATTACTACATCAGAGAATGAAAGAGGTATCTTTTATCCTTATCATCCCATCAATTTATATAATGCATTTTTAAAAAAACCTCTTAAGACCTAGTTGGTCTTACAAAATCCCTTTTATAAATGAAAGCTGACATTACAAATTACAGTCTTCATTTCAGGTTCAAATCTATGACATCACAGACAGAATCCTAATTCTCATTGTAACTTTTCCCATTTTCCCTTTATATTGAGGATTGGAATATGCTAAACCTTTTTAAACAGCACTTCTGAAGTCCCCATTAAAACAATGCATTCTACTGATACCTTACAGATAAGAAGAAAAAAAAAAAGCAGTATTCTAGTTCTTCAAAAGAGTAAGACAAAGAGCTCAACTGCTACTAAGCATTCACCACCCCACCTGATTATTTTATTAGGTAAATCTAATAGTATATTTCATGTTAATAAATATTACTAACCTGCAGCCCTGCATAAATAACATAAAGTTCAGAAAAAATAATATGTACCTGTAATCCAAAAGACCAACTTATATATATAAAAAAAGGAACCTATATTGTCACAGAGTGTAGCTTTATTGAAGATTAGCAGCATTTTTTAAAAAATCAAATATTCTTTCTCTGAGTAGGGACTACACCAGTGCATGCATTTGTTAAAACCGACTCAGTGGCACATTAAAATCTGAACATTCACTCTGTAAATTACACCTCATTTAAAAAAAATCCCATTAGGACATGCATTAGTTCATGTTGTATGATTATTGGTCATTCAACATTTCAAGAACTACCTGAGATGGTATTGGAAACAAAGTAACAAAAAGCATCATTTAAACTAGGTAATCATTGTATTATGAAAGCTATTAAGGTACTCATTTAACCTCAGAAAAAGTTCTGTTAAATTCAAGGACTAATTTTAATATAAACAGACTAAGCGTAAAATATTCAATTTATAACATGTGCTTCAAATTCTAGTTTTGTTTTTATAGCATTCTTGACATTAACATTCTTACTATAAACATTGACAGATGAGAAAACCTTACTACCAGTAAATGCTACTTTAGGTACAGCTTAAATATATTTTGAAACAAACTGATCTAACTCTAAAAATAAACCAAGGTAGTAAAATCAAAATCCATGTACTATACTACACATGGGTTCACAAATATTTACTCCAATTTAAAATACAAAAAAAGTTTTCATCCTGCAATCCACAGATTGAAAAGGGAGAACAAGAATTATAAGCATCTAGTTAAACAATAATACAAGCAATATATTTATAGAAGAGCTTTTCAGTTTCTCTGTATAAGGCCAACGCCATAAAGTGAAGGAGGCAAAGTATGGCTCTGCAGCATCAAATGAAAAGGTGTGGGGCATGTGAACTGGCATGACTTGACCTTGGCATAAAGTGAAAATGGTTCACAGGAAAATTTAGAGTTAGGAGACTCTAGTACCCCTCTGAAAGTCAACAGTCTAATTTGTATTATGAGGTGTTAGGCTGTATCTCTTAGGTCTCATCCAGTCAAAAATGCTACCTAAGCATCATCACATCATTCCATAACTAGGAATCCATTATAAGCCAATATAAGCATCTTTAGTATACTGTGGATTCACTTACCCTATGAGTTCAAATCACATTTCTCGTGCATTCAGTGATCTTTCTAATAAAGACATACCCAGTACAGATGTCACCTTTGTTCTCTGATAACAGCATTAGAATGTATTACAGGATATATCCTCAGTGCTAAAAAGCTAAGATTAAAATTTAAGCTGCTTTTAACACTGAAGAGGAAGGATTAGTACTTTAAAAATATCTTCTAGAATACTTGACATTCAGAGGGGGAAAAAAAGTTAAAAATACAAGGTAACAATTGTCCTATGCCCCTCCCAACTTCTTTATTCATGATTTCCTTATAAAAGTAGATTTTACTAATATACTTCCTTCTAAACAATAACCTATGGTTTCCCTCACAGAGATGTCATTTTTAAGAATCTTTAGTGGTGTCTCATCCTATATAATAAAAGGCTAATATGCAAATCGACCGAACAGCGGAATGACCGATCACTATGACGCACACTGACCATCAGGGCCAGACGCTCAATGCAGGAGCTGCCCCCTCGTAGTCAGTGTGCTCCCACAGGGGGAGCACCACTCAGCCAGAAGCCCTGAGCTGGGCTCATGGCTGGCGAGCACGGGGAGCGGGCCTAAGCGGGCAGTCAGACATCTCCTGAGGGCTCCCGGACTGCAAGAGGGCGCAGGCCGGGCTGAGGGACTCCACCCCCACCCCCAGCATGAATTTTGTGCATCGGGTCTCTAGTTACTAAATAACATTCAAAGGTAAGATCAAAACATGACATCAAACTGTGATGAAATGGTTTCTAGCTTCTATTTGAAAACAAGTCTTAAAATGTCAGGGTTGAAATTTCTGAGATCAACTAGGCCAGTGACTTTAAGTAGGGAAACTTGTTCAAACAAATCCCTGCTCAAAAGCTCATATGCAAAACTTTTCCCAGAAGAGTAGGAAACCTTAAACCTTTCTGTCCAGAACTCTCCCACTCTAACAAAATTAGAAAATTACTAAGTTGGTAATAACCTTTTTATTTCACAGATCTGAGAAAATGATAGGCCCAAAGAGGTTAAGGCACTGACTAACCCCAGATTACTCAGTCTGCACATGGCAGATCTAGAGCTTGGTTATACCATAATTGTTTCTTTGGAGAACACATTAATTCAGAGTGTCACAAAGAAAGAGAGTGTTGTAACAGAAACACAGTAATTTTAATTGAGCTCCCAGAGGCCAATTCACAAGGTCCAAGGATTTCAGTTTCTTAAAAATATCAAAAGACTGAATGTCATCCTCTCACTCTTGCTCTTTACAGTGGATGCTATGTCTCTAGGTAACAATAGATACTTTAATAAGGTCCTTACTAGGTAAGGGGACCTGATTAGGCAGGTCTGCTATGTAGGTCAGGTAATCTGCAGCTCTTTTTTTCAGATCTATCAAAGTATATTAAAGAAAATGGGGGTTAGGGGGTGTCAACACGTCTAAAACAATGGATAACATATAGATTGCCTTATTCAATCTAGCTAAACTAAAGTTAGTTTAATTCACTATTTACCAAATAAATATTGAGTGTATATAATATGTAGGTAATGTGGGAAAAAACTGCCACCCGAAGAAAGGTTTATCTAAGTCTTTCTTAATCCTTACTGCTTCAGTGGAAAAACAATTTCCATACTTAAAACCAATGAACCACTTTTGTGTCTATGTACTGACCCTACCATTCCTAAAACAAATTTACTCGTTCCCCACCCTCATCCAATTACTACATTTCTGCCTGAGACTACTCCCAGAAGCCACACTCTATTCTTGGATGCCTGCCCCAACCAGTTCACCAAGCTCTCCTAGAGCCAGATCCTGAAATCCCATCTCCTCTCCCAGAAAGCCTTAACTTGAAAGCCAGGTTAATCTCTCTAGCTCTACCCACAGACAGTTTATAACTGCCACAACTCGGTACACATCTTATAATAGATGCCCATTAGTTTGTTCACAAGTTAATTTCCTTTACTCATTGCTTATTCAGTATATTAACCATTACTCTTGCTAGGTACCAGTGTCGTTATTAAATAAAAGCTACTGGATAAAAGGGCATGTATTTAATTTGGGTTTAGCACTGAAAATGCCAGGTGCTTAATGCCTTTTTTAAAAAAATGCCTTCTGAAAATGATTTCAAATATATTAAATTCAACCTGTCTTGTGAAATTTACAAAATCTCCCAATATGGATAAATCTAAAAAGCATTAAGCTAAGTGAGAGAAGCCAGACACAAATGTTACCTCATATATGATTGCATTTACATGAAATTCTAGGAAAAACTAGTGATGAAAGCAAATCAACCGGGGCCAGGGATGGAGAGATTACATGCAAAGGGAAAAGAGTTTAAAATTTTTAGGCTAATGCAATTGACATTTTCTTTGAGAAGGAAAATATGTAGGTATTTGAATAAAAAATTTCATTCTTCCACAGTAACAAATTTACTTTCCCACAAAGCAGGGTGTTTTTTGTTTTTAGGGATGGGAATTAAAATCTCAAATCTGGATCATTTTAGATTTCATATTAACCTTTATCTCAAAAGATAAACCTGGGATTTTCTTCCAAATAATTTACTTTATCACTTAACAACCAACAGAACATTTCATTATTCAATTCTCCCTTTAAAATGTCTATCAACATTGGAAATTGTTTCAGGATAGTGTTAATTTGGTTGTTTCCCCATCAGAATGAATGTATGTAATCTAGCCCTTAATTCAAGATTGGAGGAATAGAAATCGGAAAAGGAAGCCACAGTACATACCAATTCCACTTAATTCTCAACTATCCTGGATCTTTTTGTTATTTTTGAGTAATTGCTGGAGAATCGCTGGGTTTTAAGCTACCTTTTAGTATCTATTCTAGGAAAAGACTCTTTAATCTCAAAAACCAAACTATTCTAAAACCTTTTAAACATTTTCCCTGATGGGACTGACAACTCAACAGGTTAAAGTTACTTATCAAACTGTGGTTTCGTGATGAAGCTTTCTTTTAATATAACTGAGATCTGAGTGTAAATTTCAACATAGCGCTGCGCTCAAACTGCCTTTGCCATTACCCGTAGAAATTTAGTACAGTCTGAAATGCAGCCAACACTGCCATTCTTGAAAGAGTAATTAACACCTCGAGAAGGACTTCGCATAGTACAATTTAGTAATTTCACGTCGCATCTGCTGCAGAGATCACAGACTGTCATTATGCCATCTCCTTCCTTGAACCCCACTACCACCCGCAGCTTTCTTCTTGGCTTTTCAAAGGTTTAATCCACTCAGGACCGCTAACGGAGGAATCGAGGCACCTTCCCTTGCGAACCCACGCAGAGAAAAGGGCAGGAAAATGCGGTTGAGTCACGTCGCTCCGCCATTTTCTAAGCGGAGGAGGAAGACATGTTGGAACAAAAACACAACAAAAGAGCAGCCATTTCCCAAGCCAGCTCCAACAGCAGCCCGCGCTGGCGGAGCCGGTGCCCTCGGCACCTCCACATCCACCTCCCGGGGCAAACCCAGCGCATCAGAGGTGCCGGCGGAGGAAGCCGCCTCCGACCCCGCCGCGCAGGGATCAGGGCTGACCCGCAGGCCCACGAACCGCAGCGCCTCGGGAAGGACGACGCACGCCAGACGGAGCCGAGTGCAAGCCACGGAAAAGCGACATTAAGTTGACAAACTGAAATGTACTCGGTGCTTGTGGCGACGAACGGTTCAAAGGAAACCACTGGCTAAAGGCAACCAGGTACCACTCAAGTCCCAAGGACCGGCTGCAGCTGGTCCTGCTACCTGCCTCGGCCCCGGCCCCACTCCCGACCCGAGCGCTCGGGGTTCTTCTTACCGTATGTGGGGGATGCCAACCCCACCCTGAAGAATCTTATAGAGTTTGCTCTCGTACAGCAACTGCGGGTGCCGGGCCTTCTGGGACTCTAGCTTCACGGCCACTTCCTGCGGGGGGGAGAGGGGATAATGGCATCAACATCCCTGCGGGCTCCATGCCGCTCGGGAAGGGAGGGAGACATTAGCAAGGCTCCAACTCGTGACCAGAAGGTGAAAGTGGGAGGCCACGGGGAGAGAGCTCCCTTTGTCATCATAAAAGGAGGCTCCGGCCTCAAAGGCCTTTTCAGGGGGCAGTGACGAAATCCGCACGTCCTCTCCAGTGCAGGGCAATGATTCATGCAGAAAACGTAAGGAGAGGTTATGAAGAAATCGGGCGATCGGAAGCCGTCCTGATTAGAACAAGAAGCCCAGTCGAATTAAAATAATATAATATAATTAATATAATATATATATATCACATATCGCAGGAAAAAGATTTTGCCGTTTTCACCTTAAACGACGGTAAAATAGATTACAATACGGGGAAACTTCCCAGTTCACCCAAGCTTTCTATCGTGGTCTTAACCTTTTAGGGCAAGAGCGTGGGAGAGGTTCCTAAGCCAGGGGAGCGGGCTCCCTCCTGACCCCGGTGCGTGCGTTGGGGGGGGGGGGGGGAAAGAAAGGTCCCAGACATTTTGGGGGGGGGGGGGGGCAGGCGCAGGCGTCGTCGCGAACCCCACCCCCAGGGGATTACCTCGCCCATTGGTGATGTTGATCGCCAGATAAATGTCCCCGAAGGAGCCAGACCCCGATCTTCCGTACCAGTTTGTATTTCCCTCCGACAATGAACTCGGCCTTGGAGCCGCTGCTGCTCGCCATCGTGGGAGACGAAGGCGGAGGCTGGGGCCCAGCCCCGACACCTCGGAGAGGAGGACGCGGGCCGCTGGGCTGGTCCCCTGAGCAAAGCTGCGGAGGAGGGCGGCAGGGAACCGAGCACGCCGGCTTCTGGCGTCACAGGGCCGCGAATCCGTCGAGGGGACCCCGATCACGGCCCTCCAGTCAGGTTTCTTTTTGCTCGGCTGCAGTTTGTGCGGGGTTCTCGCGGCTCCCCGGCTGGGCCACTTGGGTCCGGGCGGCCGCCACTGCCTCGCTTTCGCGGCGACGTCGCGGGCTGGAAAAGGGGCGCGGTGAGTTAGGGCGGTGATACCGCTGCCACCACTGCCGCCGGCTCCCGCCCGGAGGGACCCCTGTCACTCCGCCGACGCCGCCATCTTGTTACTCCGGCTCCAGCCAACGCAAAATGCCCCCAGTCCCCGGGAGCCGCTTCTTCACGGCGCAGAGCACTCTGGGAAAGACTTCTCAGCACAAGCCCCGGAGGGTCGGCAGTGAGAAGAGGGCGGAACCGGACCCGTGAAAGTCGCGGCTCACGCTCCAAGCGTCACCCCGTCACCGCCCAACTGCTCATGCGTACTGCAGCCCGGCTGACTGCGCAGGCGCGCGGTGGCAATCTCCTCACTCCCGCCCCCGGCTCATTCTCACTTCCGGTCGTCGGCTGTTCCAGTCTTGCTACCTGTTTGTTAGTCACCTCGGCAACGCCCGGTCCCGGAAAGGCCTGGCGGCGCCAGGCCTCCGGAGCAGTTAGAGAGGAGTCACCTTCATTGTTCTTGTAAGATGGAAGCTTCAGGTCTTGGAGTTGGGCATCGACCTTTGCTTTCTGAGGCGGGTTTTAAACCTTTGATCTTTCCGCCGCTCCCTCCGCCCCCGACTGGCCTAGTCCAGCTCCATTTGTTTTGAAAGGAGCTGTCGCCTCTGGTGGAGAGGCAGAGGAAAGCAGCCCAGGACTGGCTGGGTTTGTTCAGGGCTCTCCAAAAATCAATAAAAATATATTTAAAAATAAATAAGTAGCCAAGCCAGTGTTGCTCAGTGATTGAGCGTGGACCTTGGAACCAGGAGGTCAGGGTTGGATTCCTGGGGAGGGCACATGTCCGGGTTGTGGGCTCCATCCCCAGGAGGGACATGCAGGAGGCAGCCCATCCATGATTCTCTCTCACCATGGATGTTTCTGTCTCTCCCTTTCCCTTCCTCTCTGAAGTCAATAAAAATACATTTATAAATTTTAAAAAATAAAATTGTACTTTATGCTGCGATTTTATAAAATGGTTCCAATGGTAGGTAGCAGTTTTGTTGTTTTGCTAATATCCTTATTTGACAAAATTAAAGTTGACATTTTATCTGCCCTCTTTTTTTTTTTTAAACTTTTATAAGCTTTTGAAATCCCACACTCTGGAACCCATTCGTTTAAGTGACTTTTAGAAGGCCTTCCACTGAGATTCTATGATTTTGTGTATATATTTGATGTCTCCTCATTTGTTTCCAGCACTGACAATACCCAGCAAAATGATATGAGTGGCCATAGCCTTTTCAAATGTTATTTCATTTTACTCCATCTTAAGATTTAAGTTTGTCAGACTTAAGAAGGACAAAGGTTGGTTTTTGTTTGTTTGTTTGTTTTTTAAGGAAGTGAAGTTTTTAGGTGTCAGCTATGACTCAGCCTTTCCCTTAAAATCATGTATCATTTACTTTCAGCCTCAGCAATTGAAGAATTACCTGTTGGAGGTGCTGTTATTTTAAAGGTACAAGACATTCTGTGCTTATTGAATCAGCAGCAGCTTTGGTGTAATGGAAGGAGTCTTCTAAAATGTGCCAAAATGCAATTTCTAATTCCCGGATCAGATGAATTCACTGAAAATATAATCAAAAGTGAAGGCCTAGGATGGGCTGGGTGAAGGGGGGAGGGCGTGGGAAATGGGGACATCTGTAATACCATCTGCAATTAAAAGGTATAGGATAAAATGTTAGACTTCGAGGGACATATCACATCTAGTTCAATAATCATATTTTTAAATGCTTTAGAATTTCCACATATCAATTATGCCCTACTTGGACAAAAGTGGCTTGCCCAAGATCATACAGATGCTATTAGAGGCAAAGAAAGGACTAGAACCCCCAACCTCTAACAGGAAGAAAGATAAAAAGGAAAGGGTAGAATGCAAATTGGGACAGTCATGCCACAGTGAATACTTCTATGTTCATAGAGAGGTCAAGATGAATTGAAAAAAAATTTTTAAGCCCTAGTGTTTACCTTAGAAAAGGTCACTGTAACCAGAGTATGTTTTGAGTAAAATGATAAGGACAAGCACAAGAAGTATAGATGTTGTAAGAAGGAAAATGAAACACAAGGGCAGCCTGCCAATTTCTAGAGTTGTTTGTTGCAAATAAGTAGTAAAATGGAATGCCTTAGAATATGTCACTGTTTCAGGTGTTAACTGTTACACAGCCTCGTGTATGATCGCTTATCAGATAAGTTAGTGGAGTGATAGAAAACATGAGAACATCAGAAATGTCCTTCTGGGTCAGAGTGATAATCCATTCAGCCTGTTTTCCAGTCATTGACTATGACAGCAATTTCTGTGTCCCTTTCTTGTTTCAGTTCCTTCCCCCCTCTGCTGTGATTCAGAAGGTTTTGTGAAAGTGGACTGCTGTATTTATGACAGCAACTTCAAACACATTTGAGATATTCCATGAACATTTCTTACTTTTTATGTTGTCATTAACCATAAATTTATTTCAGTCAATTTTATTTGAACTTATGCTTTTGACCCATAAGGCTTCAAGACTCTAAAGATTAATAAATTCCATGTGAATGTGACTCAATGATCTTTTAATAACCATATATATTTATATAATATTCACTATTCTTTTCCTTATAAAAGTGACAAATATTCACTTGAAAATTTTAAGTAAATCAGAAAAAAGAAAACAAAAATCTCTTAGAGCCCTAACTGGTTTGGCTCAGTGGATGGAGCGTCAGCCTTCGGACTGAAGGGTCCCAGGTTTGAGTCCGGTCAAGGGCATGTATCTTGGTTGAGGGCACATCCCCAGTAGGGGGTGTGCAGGAGGCAGCTGATCGATGTTTCTCTCTCATCGATGTTTCTAACTCTCTATCTGCTGGGGTCCAGCCCCAGCAGGTCCAGGGTTTCCCAAAGGTGTGGATGGAGTCGGCGAAGAAGGAATGACATGGAGACAGCGTTCAGTTGGTCATCATAGCCAGGTTCTCTCTTTATTGTCCTATTACATCTATATTTATACTATTTGATCCCATAAGCATGCCTCTATAATTACATCATGGTATGTTTTGGGTCACGTTCTACAATTCCTTGTTTCTTAACTGACCTTAGCCAAAAATCCTGTCTCTATCTAGTTCTGTTGATTTTAATCTTGTCTAGGTTAATCTCTGTGTTCCATTACAAGGGCTATTCCAAGGTCACTGCTCTACTGATAGGCTACAAGGAAGTGACTGAAGGAGTTTATCCTACCCAGTAAAGGTTATGTCCTCCCAGCCTCACTGCTTGCCTTACCTGGGACTGCCCTGTGTCAGTGGGACTCCAGGGGTATAGGCTTTGGTGCTTTCCCTGGTGAGCAGACCCCTGGGGATGTGGGCCCATCAAGTCCCAAATTTATTGCCAACAGTCTTAGTCCAAGTTCTTCATAAGTAGTACATGGTATTTCTGTAACACTAGGGGGATTTACTGATTTATTCTCTTCCTTAGTCCTGTTAACCCCTAACCTGGGGAAACAACCTTTCTCTGGGAGGTGGTCCTGGTTAAAACACATAGCGCTTAAGAGGGGGAGCAAACATATGTCATATACGCCAGGTCCCTTGAAACATAAGCTGTGCAGATGTTTCTTCCCTGCAGCGACTGCGTCAAGCAGCAAGGGTAGACCGGCTTCCAGCATCTATCCCTCTCCCTTCCTTTCTGTAAAAAATCAATAATATATATATTTTTAAAAATCTCTTAGAGATAACAAATGTTAACATTTTGTGTTATATAAATGTACAGTCTTTTTTCTGTGCGTCTCATGTGTGTATGTTGTATGTATATGTATGTATACATATATTTGATTTTATTTCTTAAAACTTGCAACAAGTAATCATAGTGCACATTCAGTTTTGAGACTTGTTTTTTTTTCATTTAGTGATTTGTTTGAGTCATGTTCCCATATGAGTAAATAATCTTCCAAAATACCATTTTTAATGTCTATATATTAAATATGTATTGTATTGATGGAACAACATTTAACCAATCCCAATTTAGTATTGCAGTTATTTTCAAACTTTTGCTAGTAGTATAAACAATGCTTTAATGAATATTCCTGTAGTAAATCTTTGCTCATATCCAAAATTAATTGGTTAAGGTATATTTCTGGAAATGCTACTGGTCTTAAAGCCCCTTGTATAATAAAAAACAACTTCTGGTTCTGTTTTGATACAGTTTGTGATGGATAAAACTATGTTCATGTGTTATCCTATTTACTCCTTTCTTAAATTTATCTTCAAATTTAAATTCTAACCCTTCACTTTCTTAAAAGTGGTTGTTAGATTTTGTCTGGCCACCCATTGTTGTAAAACCCAATAAACTTAGAAGAGCTCTTTGCAACTCTCCTATTCCCTTCCCCACACATTTCAAAATCTCAAGAATTTTGCAAGTCTGTGGTTTGTGATGTGCTCATACAATTGAGAATGTCCCTTTTATGGACACAGCTAACAAGACACATTTGTTGGCTTGGCCATTGGTGAAACAATTGTGTTTTATAGACATTTAGATTTAGTTGAAGGAGGGGAGAGGGTGGGGGGAAGAGTGGAGGGATTAGTTTCCTGTAAGAGGTCAAAGGACCCTCAAAATCAAGAATATATTTAATCAAGTATGAAAACAAAATAATCTCATATATGTTCAAATCTCCCATGTTTTGCATGAGCTCAAGAAATAAATGTGCAAGGTCTTAGAGATGGGGAAGAATTCAACTTGTCACTGTTCCAAACAGATTAACCCAGGCTTTACTACAGATATAGTTTACATTTTTGAGTTAGGCATTTCAGTGTACTTTGTTAAATGAGACTGTGTCCTTTTCTACCTTTTGTTTACAAATAAAATGTTGCCATCTACATTTAGAGTAGTAGAAAATCAGGAAGTTTTCCTAACTTTAAGCAAGAACCATGGAAACAATACAAGAGTAGTGGAAATTTATTTTATTTTAAAAAAATAGTTTGGGGTGGGAGAGGAGAAACCAAAGTATCTTTTTATTTGGGTATTTAAGGGCTAGGTTAAATGGTGTAAGGAAATACTATATATGCTGACCTAAGTAGTCAAGAAATCTGAATTTTAGTTGTGACTGAGGCCAATAAAACAGGACAAGTGGAATAGGGTGACTGAGGCCAATAAAACAGGACAAGTGGAATAGGGAAACTGAGACCAGATAGTTAAACAGCAGTGTGCAGTCATATAGAAAATCCCTGTGTTCCCTAAACCAGGGACATCCTCCTATATAATAAAAGGGTAATATGCAAATAGACCGAATGGCAGAATAACCGAATAACCAATCAAAGCGTAATATGCTAATGATATGCTAAGGCTGCTCAACTTGCTATGAGGTGCACTGACCATCAGGGGACAGACAGTCAACTGGTTGACCAGTCGCTATGACGTGCACTGACCACCAGGGGGCAGATGCTCCAACCAGTAGGTTAGCTTGCTGCTGGGGTCTGGCAGTCAGGACTGAGTGAGATGGGCCAGACACGCCCTGGAGCCCTCCCACAGTCCCTCCCCGGCCCAATCATGCACCGGTGGGGTCCCTCAGCCTGTCCTGCGCCCTCAATCCAGGATCCCTCGGGTGATGTCAGAGAGCCAGTTTCAGCTCGATCCTGCAGGCCACTCCCCTTGGGAGGGCGCCAGACGCAGGGCTTGTGGCTGGTGAGCGCTGCTGTGGCAGCAGGAGCCTCTCCTGATCGGGACTGATTGGGCGAGAGCCCACGGCAGGCACAGTGGGGCTGGGATGAGCAGGAGTGGAAGCGGCAGGTAGGAGCTGCAGGCGGCGTTGGACTGTGGGTTTCGGCCCGATCCCTGCAGGCCACTCAGAGAGACCCCACCCGTGCACGAATTTGTGCACTGGGCCTCTAGTTTAAGAATAAATGATTTACACTTCTCCCCAACCAGAGGGTAAATAGCTTAAATCACCCTACTCAGGGAGACAGCAGAAATCTAATTAGTGCCATTTTCCAACCATACCCAAGGACACATGAAGTTAAGAGAATAGCCCTGGCTGGTTTTCTCAGTGGTTAGAGCATTGGCCCACTGACCTAAGGGTTGCAGTATGATTCCTGATCAAGGGCAGCACCTCGGTTGCAGGCTTGATCCCCTGCCTTGGTCAGGGCAAGTTTGGGAGGCAACCAATTGATGTGCCCCCAGCCCTTTCTTGTTTCACTGTCCCCAGCTTTAATGTCACCTGGACTCATGTTGTGAAATTTTCTGCAGGAAATCAAGAACCCACACACTACCCGCTGGCCCTAGGCAAACCCATTTAGGGCCAGGTTCCCTTACCAGTAACAACTCTACCTTAAATATTTTTCTAGACTTCAGTGTTGTAATCTTTTAAAAAAGAAGTCAGATTCTAGCTTTAAAAATATTGTGCTAATGCCTGGCCAGTGTTTCTCAGTGTTTGAGCCATGACCCATGAACCTGTCATCTGTTCAATTCCTGGTCAGGGCACATGTCCAGGATTCGGGATCCCCAGTAGGGGGCATGCCAGAGGCAGTCAATTGATCTCTGTCTGTCCTCCCTTGCTCTCACTAAACTCAATGCAAAAAAAAAACATATTAAAAAATATTATGCTATTTACTGAAGATGACTCCTATACTCCGGACTCCCAAATTAGAAAGAATTGGGAAATACCTTCTAAAAATATTTAAGAAAGGCAATACAGTCATCCCTCAGTAGCCACGGTGGGTAAGGGGATGTTGGCTCTGTAGTAGGCAGTTAGACATGACCAGTATGGGAGGTCCCATACCTAGCAAGGGACAATTACAAGGTGAGATGTCTCCTCCAGGGTGACCTTTCCTCCCCTAGCATACCGCTGGTCATGTGATTTAGACCCCCCCCCCCCCTCCACACACATACCTTTCATATAGCTGGTCCCGGAGAATAGCCTCCTACTACTTCCATACAAGCCCTTGCACTAGCACTCCCTTAAGCGTTAAGCCTTAAAGATAACATCTAGATGCCAATTGTGTTTCAGCTCCAGACCCAGAAATGCAGCAAGGCCAGGCAGGGCAATGCCATGGCTGCCATAGGACTGGCTGCCAGCAGGACCGGCTGCCATGACGAATGACCCCCTGCCCCGGCACCTACCAGTCGGAGACCAGGACCCTGAAAGGACACCGCTGGAAAGCTGATGAATATTCTATTGAGATCCTCCCCTGGGACCGCCAGATAAAAACCCTCAAGACACGTAAGAAACATTCAAACCTGTGAAGAATTTTTTGTGAGTTTATTTGAGCCAAACTGTCGGCAAATGCTGGGAAGCAGAATCTCAACGGATTGAGATAATGCTCTGGAGAATGGCAGTTTTGCACTTGTTTTATAACTGCAATCAAAGAGGAGATGTAGGTGGGTTACGTGAAATCCACTGGTTATCACCAGATTAGGGAAGCGAGAGAAAGCAAAGCAGGAGGGGCGAGGGGGGAACCTCTGGGGTTGGGTGAAAAGTAAAATGATAGACACGTACTTCAATGAGGGGATTTGTGGTCTCTGCAGAGCGGTGCCTGTGCTTTGAGGGGTCCAGTAAAAGAAAAATTACTTTGACATTCCAACGATATGTTATTGTAGATGCAAAAAGACAATAGACAGCCCTAGCTGGTTTGGCTCAGTGGATAGAGTGTCTGGGGACTGAAGGGTCCCAGGTTCGATTCCGGTCAAGGGCACATGCCCGGGTTGCAGGCTCGGTGCAGCCTATCAATGATTCTATTCTCTATTTCAATCTCTCTTTCTCTCTCTCCCC